GGGGCGGGGGTGGGTAGGACAGAGGATCTGAAGTGGGCTCTGTGCTGAAAGCAGAGAGCCCAGTGCAGGGCTCGAACTCTTTTTTTTTTTTTTTATAGTTTATTTTTGAGACAGAGCATGAGTGGGGGAGGGGCAGAGAGAGAGGGAGACACAGAATCTGAAACAGGCTCCAGTCTTTGAGCTTTCAGCACAGAGCCTGATGCGGGGCTCGAACCCATGAACCATGGGATCTGACCTGAGCCGAAGTCGGACGCTTAACCAACTGAGCCACCCAGGCGCCTCTCGAACTCTTGAACTATCAGTTCATGACCTGAGCCAAAGTTAGACACTTAACCTACTGAGCCACCCAGGTGCTCCTCTTGTGGGCCATTTTAAAGGACTTAAGCTTTTTTTCTGAGTATGATGGGAAGCCCGCTGGAGGATTTTGAATAGAGGAGTGACCAAATCTGTCTTGGATTTTGAAAAGGCACTCTTGGCTGCTGAGAGAATAGGTTTTAGCAAGACAAAGATGGAAATGGGGAAGGAAGTTAGGAGGCTATTGTAATAATCTAGGTGAAAGATGATGGTGGCTTGGATGAGGTTGTAGTGGAGTTGACACAAGTGGGGTTGGCTGTTAGATTGGATCTAGGATGTGGAAAAAAGAGAAGTCAACCATGACCTTAAGGTTTTGGCCTGAAGGGGCCGAGGTAGTCAAGAGTTAGTTTTGAACTTGTTGAGCTTGAGAAACTTACTTGACAAGTGTTGAGTGGGCAGTTGGGTATATGAGTTTGGAATTCAGGGGAAAGGTCTGAGCTGGAGATAAAAATTTGGGAGTTGCCAGTGTACAGATCCTTTTATAGCTATGAGAGTAGGTGAGATTACCTAACAGGAAGAGTTCCAAAAACTGAGCCCTGGGGCAGTTCAACATTTTGAGGTCTTGAGAGATGAGAACAAACCAGCATATGAAATCCAGAAGAGTGGCCAGAGAGATTAGGAGAAAATCAAGATCAGGTGGTGTCCTGGGAGTCAGGAGAGAGTTTCAAGAAGGAAGGAATGATCAACTGGATCAAATACTACTGATCAAACATGGAAGTGAGGGCTGAGACTTCCCTGTTGGCTTCAGCAATGGGGAAGTCATTGGTGATCTTAGTAAGAATAGAAGGAGGCCAAAGCCCTAATGGAGTGAGTTCAATAGAGGATGAGAAGGGGGGAAATAGAGATGGTGAGTATGGTTAACTCTTTCAGGGAGTTTTCCTATCAGTGGACACATAGACACAGGGCAGGAACTAGAGAAGGATATGGAGTCAAGGGAGACTTTTTTTTTTTAAGATGGAGGAAACAAAATGATTCTAGTGAGGGGTAAATTGATGTTTCTTGAGTCTGAGCGGAGAAGTGCTAGAATGTCCGTGAGAGAGTAAGATTAAGAGGGATGGGGGACACAGGGATGATTATGGTACTGGGACCTAAAGGACTAAATCTCATTAAGCAAGATTCTGCTTTTCCCTTTGAGCACTTCTTTGCATTTAAATTTATTTCAAACTTATTATGCTTTCTGTTGGAAGTGAGGAAGGGCAGATAAAAAGCAGTAAAACTTATTGTATATAAAATTAGTGTATCAGCTTGGTGTAGTAGAGGAGAAGAGATTGAATCTTCTGTGTAAGGTGACATTTTAAAGTGTCTTTGAATGACAATTATCTGTGCTATTCTAGTCCCTTATCAAAATTTATGATTGAGCACAGACTATAAACTTAATTGTTCAAATTTGTAGTGGGATGAATTTTAGCCTAATTTAAAACGATCTAATGTTAAACTTTCTTTCTGTAAAATTTGTTTATTGTTTTATATTTTTCATATACAAAGGTCTTAGATATTTTTACAAAAGGTACTTAAGTTGTTATTAATCACCTTTGACTTATTGATGATATTTTAAATTTTACAATCATATTAGAAATCTGAATGATTCATTTCTTTACCAGCTCTAATTAAAGCAGTTACCTGTGAAGTTCTGGAGAGGTGAGCCATCTTCAGTTTGCAAAAAATCATGGGAAGTTATGTTAGCAAGATAAAACTCATCTGTAAAAGCAAAGATAATTTCATTTAGTCCAACTAATATGTTTTTAGTGTATTTTTAAAAGAAATCTATATTTGAAAAATTTAAGCAGATATGGTTCAAAGTTTTTACTACATTAGTTATGAGTGTCAAGAGTATGTGAGAAACAAAGTAAGTGGACTTTAAATCAGCTTTACATGAGGAAATCAGATTTGCATTTCAGACAGCTACGTTTTGCATATAGACAGTGTTAAAATACACATTTATATATAAATCTTTTTTTGCTCACTCTAAATAATAGAAATAAAATCTTTTCTTTTTCATCAGTTTCCAAGTGGTAGTTGATCAGAAGAAACACTAGTTGTGATGCACAGTGTTTAAGAATCACTAGTCGAAAAATAATTGGCTTTTAAAAAAATTTGGTATCTGAACCTCTTTGGAAATTTTATTAAAGCTGTGGGTCTTCTCCCCAGAATTCTTATACATACAGAACTTAGCATATAGTATCGTAGGGTTGGCAAACCTCTCTGAAGCCCATTCATGAGGATCCCTTAGGCATAAAGGATCTCAAGTTTTAAAACCTGCCCTACATAGCTTAATTTTTCCTTCAAACATTATATGGAGACTTTTCCAGAAATATTTTGCTAGTATTTACTATAGTTTGTTTCTTAGAAGTGTTACTGCTGCACCTGGTTAAGAGGCGGTGAGGTCTAGTGGAAAGGCCAGCTCAGTCAAAGGAATCTCCGAGTCTGTAAGCTTTCCTCCAGCTTTATAACCAATTGGTGTGTGACCTTCCAGGAAGTCACTTAACCTCTCAGGCTTTGATTTCCTATGTGATATCTGCAGTCCCTCCAAGCAGTTTTATGAGTAGTTTTATGATATCATGGTTTCATGATATCATGGTAAAATTCTTTATCAATTTGGGATTAACTCTGCTATTGGCTTTTGGAGAAAATGCCCCAGAGATAAAGTGTACATCCATTGTGTCTTTGTACTAAATATGACTTTTCAGAAGAGTTGACGTGACTCTACTTTCTCAAATGCCATATAAGTAAAATAAAAATCCCAATTCTATCCTGATCACTTTGAGTGTCAACATATTTTATATGTTCTGGTTATAAACTATTGTTGTATGTGTTGGAATTGTCATTTCCAATTTTGTGGCTTGTTTTTTCATTCTCTTAATGGTGTTTTTTTGGTGAACCGAAGTTCTTAATTTAGTACAATATATCAGTCTTTTCCCTTTTATTATGTTTTAAAATGGTAATATCTCTACTTTTTTTTTTTATCCAGAGTCATTCATTTAACAAATAATGCTGTGGGAGATTGATGCATAAGAAATTCTCACCAGCATGAAAGAGCTAATAAGAAATACTTAATAGGGAAAATAAGTCAAGAGTTAAGGGTCCACTCAATCAATTCGTTCATTTAACAAATATTAATCGAGTATTTACTATGTGCCTGGTACTGTTCTGAGTAGTACACAGTCCTGTAGGGTACTACCTGTAATGTTAAGAAATCCTTTTTTTAATGGAGATATTATTGACTTATATAACATGATGTCAGTTTTGGTTATATAGCATAATGATTTGATATGTGTGTGTATTGTGAAATGATTACCACAGTAAATTTAGTTAACATCTAAACTTTTAGTTAACATTTAGTTAACACACAGTTACAGGTTTTTTTTCCTTGTGAGAATCTGCTTTTTAATAACCACATCATTCTACAGACCTTTGCATGATTTTTCTTTTGGTTGAAGTCATTCTAATCTTGGTGATTAAAATAGCCATTTATGTGGACTTGAGAACTTTGAGAAATACTGCTGCCAAAGAAAAGACAAGATAAAACGGCAAATTGAATTTCTTTTGGAAATGAATGTTAACTGCATGAATTGGGGCCCTTTTAAATGATCTTACTGTATGTTTGGTATGACTGTACATGATTAAGTAAAAATTTATAATCTGGATGACAAGATTTTTGAACTATCCCTTGAAATGAGAACACTATTGGAGTAACACCAGTCAGCAAACATACTATGTTTAAAAGCATAAGGAAGTTTTAGAGCACGGCATGTGGAATTTCTTAATATTAAAGTATTAGGAGAAAAGTTTTAATTTTTGTTTTCTAATGTTTTTTTTTTTAATTAAAAAAGAAGTTTGGGGTGGGGAAGAGTTAAAAATAAACAGTATAGCCTGACTTGACTTTTTTAACTTTGAAGTCAGCTTAATGGAGTTTAGTTAATTTAAAAAAAACAAAACAAAACAAAACAAAACACAGTTGATAAAAGTGTCATTGAGCATAAGATTGAGATCCCAAAACCTTAATTTTCTTTCTGGCTCTATCACTGATTAAACATGTGGCATAGAGAAAGGCACTTTTGTGTTGTGTGGTTTATAGTCTAAAGCAGTGAGACTTGAAAGATGTGAATGAAAAGTTTAATTGAAATTACGATAATATGGTCGTCAATGCTGTCCATTTTAAAGCCTTATATAAGACAAGTCCATTTTGAGATTAATTGAAAAAAAAAAAAAAGTCTTTTAAATAGACCAAACTGAGGGCCAGTGATGTTAGCTTTCTTTGTTAGTATAAAGCAATGAACAGTGAAGGCCATATGTTGGAGATGAGCCTGTATTTGTGTGTTATTTAGACGAGGTACCTTTTATTTCTGTGTGTCTCTTAGGAAAGGGAAACTGTCAGTTACTTTTCCTTGTCTTGAAAAAACTGTGGAAAAGTGAAAAATGGAAAATTAGAGATTTAACTGCCTTTGAATTTCTTCTTGCTGTGGAAGCTGTCTCTCTTCCCTTTTTGGGGGTGAGGAGTGGGGGATTGGTTAAAGCTTTGTAGATTTTTGTTTGTTTTGTTTTTTCTTCTTAAAATCTGATAGAAATCTTTAAGTCTTCAGCCTTTGATGACATGTCATAAATCTGTGTTTGTAGTCTAATTCCGTTTTCCCCTTCTTCTGCTGTAGGGAGCAAGAGAGCTGAAGGAGAGCCAGTTTCCCCAAAATTGGTAAGTACTTTCCTGAGGCAGGCCTGGTGTGCCTGATACTAGTTGAGTAATAATTCAAATGTTCAGTGATTTTTTTTTTTTTTTTTTTTTGCAAAAAAGCTTTCTCCCAGAAATGAGGCTTTACTGTTTGCACTGAGTGAAAGTGAATTTTTGTGTAATTTCACATAGCTATATCTCAAATGCATTTGTGTTTCTAATAATACTGCTAGGTTTGCATGTTCCTACATTCGATAACCTGTTAAAATGTAAAGGTCCGCTTTGCCAGAAATGTCCTTAATGCAGTGGTTAGAGCTGAAAATTCTAAAGTCAGGAATTTCAAAAGTTAAGGTTCCTATTGTGTTTTGTATTACTTAATATGCTGTTAAATTTGATGGTCATAGTATATGTGCGAAATGGCTAGGTTAATGTAACTATGGGAACCTTGACTTTGAAATTTGGGACTCAAGCATTTATATCCTCAAATTTAATGTTGGATTGGCTTCATGTCTGATAGTACATTTTCAGTGTGTGGTGTTTGTATCATTCTAAAAGAGGAAAAAGTAGAAAGAGAGAGAGTGAAGCGTAGCAGTGTGAGGGCAGATAGGCAAACACATTTTTTCCCTAATATCTGCTTTAATATCTACTCTAATAGCTTATAAATCGTCACACTTCAATCATTTTTTTGAATGTCTAATTCAAGATTGCACATTGCACAGGGCAGTCTAGTGACTAAGGATCAAACAAATATTAACCTTACTTGGAGAGCATGTATGATGATAAAAAAACCAAACAAGGCTGATGCAAGGCTACTTTTTTTTGTTTTTCTTTTTGTTTTTTAATTTCTCTCTCTCAAATCATAATTAACTTAGTGGCTGGAGTAGATTATTTGGTTAAGGCTTCAATTTGATAATTTACTGTCCCTGAGGTATTTCTCTTATCTTTTAGGGATTGGGCTTTGAACATGAAAGGGAGGCATTTGAACTAGTTAACCTTAAATTTTACTACCTTTTTTTTCTACTTGCCTTTCCCTCATGGAACCTTTTTAAATAAATAATCAAGAACCTGTAGCCCTTTTCTTTGAGATGTGATAGAATCACAGAATTTTAGAGAAGGGACCTTAAGGGCTTTCTCTTCCAGCCTTTTACCAGTGTGGCAATTTCTTCTCGTATATCCCTGACAGATTGTTATTTGGGTACATAATAAATATTACATTAAAAAAAAGTGTAGCTCATTAGTTTCTATAATGTATGTATTCTGAGCAATTCTAGTTCTACAGAAATGAGTAAATATTATTGAGGTGGGGCGGGGGTGGGAAAAATGTTCTGTGATCAAATTATTTGGGAAATGCTGCGTTAAACAAAGTTAAACAGGTTTCTTTACTGCAGGACTTCTCAGAACCTTTAATATGCTAATGTGCATTGTGAATCTCCAAGAGGGGGATATGATATGCAGCATTCTTGAATACTTCTAATGACAGGGAGCCCACTACCTCATAAGGTAACCCATTCCTTTTTTGTACAGCTCTAATCCTTAGCTCTTCCTTAAATTGATCTGAAATCTGTCCTCCCATAACTTCCACTTCTATTAAATTCTTATTGGTTATGCCGAAGCCACCACACACTCTTGCGTTACCCTTTGTGTAGTAAATATTTATATGACTCTGGCCAGGACTGTTTTTAATCATTAAATAGCATTCTAGTAAATGTGGCAACTAACTTTAAAATCTCAGCCTCATTGTCACTCTGCTCTTAGACACTACTCTCCAGCCTCCTTCATTCTGAATTTCTGAAGTTTTTACATTTATTTGCAGGGTTCTTGTTGTTGGGTATAGTTGGGATGATTTTAGTGGATGTGCTTGATTTCTATAAAGAAGGTTAAGAAATAGAAGAATGTGTGTGTGTTGGTTAGGCCTGGGCCCAGGAGGCTGAGGGAGAAACTACGTATCAGAATGAACATGGTGGTAGGGAGGGACACAGATGCTGCAGCCAACTTGCGAAGGAGAGGGTGCTGTTGGGAAACCCTGACTTGACCCTGTGTTGCAGGGATATGACCTGTGTGGGTATTCCTTTTCTTTTTCTAAATGAGGATCTAGCCTCTCCCCCAAAACACCAAAGCACAGAGAGGAGAGAGATATATATTCAAACCCATTCGGACATTATCATAAATCTAATTGTGTGTGTGCATGTATAGATCTCACCCAGTGGTTAGGAAACCTCAGTCTCACTAGCTGAGGTGATTTTTGTTAACAGCTATTAATACCAAGATTTGAGCAGAGGAACCTTGGCAGCTTCAGAAGGTAGTCTTTGAAATCAGGATTGCCAAGTTCTTTGTGCAGTAGCGTTTTCTGTTGACGCGTGGAGTGCCATCAGAGAAACACCACCATGAAAATAAGAAAACAAGCATCACATTGTTTTCCTAATGTAATTTTTATTCATATTAATAAATGTTAGTATTCTTTTTTCTTTTTTTAAAAATTAAAAAAAAATTTTATTTGAGAGAGAGACTTTCTACTTTTTTTTTTTAAGTAATCTTTACACCCAACGTGGGGCTCGAACTTAACAACCCTGAGTAGCATGCATTGACTGAGCCAGTCAGGCACCCCAAGACTCTGCTTTTGATCTATGTATTACTCAGAATACTCTTTAGAGTAGGTTTAATTAATTTTTTATAAAAGAACTAGAGGGGCGCCTGGCCGGCTCAGTCGGTAGAGCATGCGACTCTTGATCACAGGGTCAGGAGTTTGAGCCCCATGTTGGGTGTGGAGTTTACTTTTAATTAAAAAAAAAAATAGTGGTGGGGCGCCTGGGTGGCTTAGTCGGTTAAGCGTCCGACTTTCGCTTAGGTCATGATCTCGCGGTTCGTGGGTTCGGGCCCCGCGTCGGGCTCTGTGCTGACTGCCAGCTCAGAGCCTGGAGCCTGTTTCAGTCTGTGACTCCCTCTCTCTCTGACCCTCCCCTGCTCACGCTGTCTCTCTCTCTCTCCCCTAGAAATAAATTAAAAATATTAAAAAAAAAAATTAAAAAAAAAATAGTGGAATCTTATACCAAGTGAATATTTGGTATAGAGAACACTGAGCTATCCATTTTTAGGGAATTCAGTCTGAGGGTACAGTGTTTTATGGTCTTAATGTTAAAGAAAACTTGATAGACGACGTATGTTTTGAGTAGAAGAAGGTTTATACCAATTCAGGAACAGAGCAGTGTTTCTCAAGAGTCAATTCAGAGGTTCGGCCTTACTTCATCATTAGGTTCCTAATGAAAGACCTAGAGGTCACATATCTCTAAGCAGAACTATACCTGGTAATAGTTAGAAGGCCCTTTGTTAGAGAGTCGGAGAATAGGAAGGCCTACATACAGTTTTCTCAGCAGTATACTGTGTTGAGAAGTTTATTAAAAGTTTGTGTGTATGAACAAAAGAGTTAAGTATGTTAAGGATAGTGTAGAACTTTGTAGTTTACCAAGGGCTTTTCATAGAAGTTCATCCCTTTCAAACCTCCTGACACTTTTATGAAGTAGATGATATGGTTCCCATTTTTCTGATTTATAAGCAAGCAAACAAATTAAAAACCCTGAGGCTGAGAGTGGTTACATAGCAAGTAAATGAAATCTGTTTTTTTGTTTTGTTTTGTTTTTTGGGGTTTTGTTTTTTTGGTTTGTTTGTTTTTTGGGGATAGTCAGTGTTCTTTCCCGACATCGCAGCTCCTTTTTTTTTAGTGGGATTTGATTATTATTTTTGTTCTGTTGGTTTGTGGAGTTTTTATTTGTTCATGTTTTTGGTTTTTTGTTATTTGAAGGTGAGAGGCCGCTAGGTGTCCCAGTAGTTTGACATGTACAGTTTTGAAGATAACAGATGTTGGTATTTTGTGCGAGGCAATTGCCCTCTCTGATGGTAGCATTTAGAGCTGCTGGGTGCTAAAGCTAAAAGGCAGTGTAACTCAGTAAAATATGTCGGTTACTGCTTTGTGAGTTTGTTTGCATTTACCTTGTAGCAACTGATTTGTTAGTTATAACTTATTGGCATTGGCCAAAATACGACAAATCATCTTTTTACAAATTTAACAAATACAAGCTTTTTTATGATGCTATGAACTGCCCCCAGATAGTCTTCATATGACAAGACATGTGTTGTCTAAGCCCCCAAAGTATTTTTTTAAAAGGATTTAATGTTTTCTTGCCTTGTTTTTATAAGCTATAAGCATATGTATATAATGTGTTCCTTTAGGTTGAGACCAGTCTCTTAAAACTGCTATCCAGAAAGAGAACTTTTTGAAGAAGTAGGATATAAGATGAATCTTCTAATCCTTCATGGGTTTTTTGTTTTTTTTTTATATCAGGTCACTAACACTTTTAACCCTTCAGTGTTATTTTGAAATAAATGAATAATTGGCATTTAGTCATCGCCAAATAAAATTTTGTGCCTCTCTGTGTCTCTAATAAGCAGACAACAGTCTGATGAAGGAATAAAAGCTGTCAGCTCCTCATTAACTTGAGTTACAGGCTTCGTATCTTGCGAGGCACTCTTTGACATTTAGAGCCTTCAGGTTAAATCCTGTTTTTACTTTTTCTTTTCTTGAACATTTTGTTTCATCACTGTCAAATTTTCTGAGGTTTTAGCAATCCTCAGCTAATTTTTTTTTAATGTTTTATTTATTTCTGAGAGAGAGAGAGAGAAACAGAGAGACAGAGAGACAGAGACAGCGTGAGTAGGGGAGGGTCAGAGAGAGAGGGAGACACAGAATCTGAAACAGGCCCCAGGCTCTAAGCTGTCAGCACAGAGCCCGATGTGGGGCTTGAACCCATGAACCATGAGGTCATGACCAATTGAGAGGCTTAACCAATTGAGCCACCCAGGCACCCCTTTCAGTTAATTTTTTAAGTTTAAAAATAAGTTCATATTTTCTGTGGAAAATTTTTAAAACGTCTGTACTCTGAAAAATTGAAAGTAAATAACCTTTAGTGCTACTACCCTGAGAAAACCAGGAGCAAATTATGAAAGTGCCACCTGATGCGATCTTGACAGCGCAGAGTATTCTTATTTCTACAAATTTTTGTCAGTTTGATAGACAAAATTACATTTCTGTGATTATTGAAGAGGGATATTTTTCATGTTTGTTGGTCCTTCTTCTGAGTTGCTTTTTCATATTTTTAAAATTAATTTGTGAGCACTCTAATGTATAATTTATGTTAACCCTTTGTTGTGTATATTACAAATTTCTGTATTGTAAATTCTCCATGTTTTTAACCTACCTTTTGTTTCCAGAGTTTTTTTTTTTTTTAATTTTTATTTATTTTTGAGAGACAGAGCGAGCAGGGGAGAGTCAGAGAGAGAGGGAGACACAGAATCTGAAGCAGGATCCAGGCTCTGAGCTAGCTGTCAGCACAGAGCCCGATATGGGGCTCGAACCCATGACCCGTGAGATCATGACCTGAGCCGAAGTCGGACGCTTAATCGACTGAGCCACCCAGGCGACCCTGTTTCCAGAGTTTTTATGTTGAGTTGAAGTATGATGTTTTATGTAACTACCAGTAAAATTAAATATGGCCTTTCTGCTGTTGAAAATACCCCTTAACTTCAAAGTGATTATTAATTTGACAAAAATTATAAGGAATGATTTTTGAACATAATTTCTGACAGTACCTTGCAAAAATTAAAACTAATTCAACTAAATCAAGTACTGTTTTCAGGAAGAACTCTAATATATAGAAGTTACAAATTCAAGTAGGGAGATTGTTTTTAGTATTTAAAATTAAAGTGGGGGCGCCTGGCTGGCTCAGTAGGTAGAGTGTGTGACTCTTGATCTCAGGGTTTTAAGATCGAACCACACATTGGGTGTAAAGATAACTTAAAAATAAAATCTTTATAAAAAATAAAATTAGAGTGATAGTATAGTTTTAATATTTGCTTTTATACACAAAGTAAGCTTACATCACAGCAAAAAACCTTGTTACTTATTAGTCTTAGTAACTTGATGATTCTGATATTTATTACAGTTCTTTAGATTTTCTAAGATAATAAGTAGCTAAAAAAATGTTTTTGTAGTTTGTTCATCAAGATATGTCTCCTTTTCCAAATTATCTGCCCTAAACACAGTGCCTTTTTTGGTTGATAATTTTCTGGTTGTACAATAATCCTTTCCAAGCCTCCATATATGTAAGTTTGAAGGAATTTTACAATTTTTGAAACTTGTTTTTTAAATTAGAGATTTTGAGGTTACATGACATAGTACATAAATCCTAGGGGAGAGATTGCCAGTAATGTTTTAAATCTAGCGAGATTAAGCAAATGTAATGAAAATTAATGTTCACAGGAATATATTGTATAGTTAATGATTCCATTATAACTGTTAAGTCAGGGAAAACTTAGGTTGAATACGGACTTGATTAATAGATAAATAATTTTTGGAAAGTGTAAAGATTATGAATTGGTTTAAAGAGTAGTGTTCTTCTAAATTCCTGATTGTTCCCTTCCTCAGTTTGTAAGAATGGTGAAAAGCTGCTCTAACTACTACAGGTTATATAGCTACAAAGAAGAAAAGAGAAAGAAGTAAAGTTTAAATTTATTCTGGCAAAAGCAAACTTCTGCTTTGGGAGGGTACCTAAAATCATGTCTAAGGCCACATTCAAGAAAAAAAATCAAAAGAGAAATTAGTTATTGAGTTCATGTAAATTGTAGCAGTGATGAGCAGAGCAGCATGGGAAGGTTCACATTCACAAATCTAGACTTTTGACACTATCCCACTTGCAGTTATACGCACAGCCACAATGGATGCACTGACAGGTTTGAAGAAGATGGCGTTCGTTGTCAAGCTGGAAGTGTCTAATCTATTGCTAGACCGCCACCTCTGTAGATTTATTTTTTAACATGCCTGCCATAACTTTGTGGAAGGTACAGTTACGTTGCATTGTCTATGTAAAAGTATTAATTTGTTAAATGTAAACCTTTAAGTGACACCAGAATTTTCCTGTTTTGAGTTTTGGTTTCAGAATAGTATAAGAATCCATCCAGATGACAGTAAACCCTAGCCTTTTTTAACCTCTGAGAGACCCTAAACTTTCCAGTTCACTCTGTGTGATTAAAAATGTATGACCCTGTTGTTACGTGTCTCTAAGGACAGTGTGTCCTGAATGGTTGTGGTCTTTTCCTTAGATTCCCAGCTCACCTATGGGAGAAGTGCTCTTGTTCAGCTCTGTATTCTCAGAATGTGGCATGTCCCACAGGGCTGAGCATCTGAGCACGCTCTGGTGCTTTCATGACCAGAGTACACACTTTCCCCCCCATTTCCAAATTATTTGAAGTGTTCTCTAGAGGAATGTTCAAAGAATAAAATCCAGAAAGTTTTGATACTAATTCCATACAAAACCATTCATTTTGGAAAGAAATCTGTTTAGGAAATGTCATGCCCTGTGTTAGAACATCAAATAATTTTCAACTAATATAATTTATTTAATATGAATATTTCCTTTATGATCAGAAACATCCTATTATCTCTACAGCTGCAGTGAGAAGAGGAATTTGTTATTTTAGACGGAGGCTGAAGAAACTGTAGACTTAGCAGACATAAGAGAAGTGGAGAAGGTGGAGGATGGAGTTGCAGACTCTACAGGAGGCTCTGAAAGTGGAAATTCAGGTTCACCAGGTATGTTCTATTATTGGCTTCTCCCACATTGTGTTATTAAGTCGTGGCTAAGGTTAGTAAACTGTCTGTCTCTGAATTTCAGTAGATTTCAATCATATTTCAGACGGTTGTCCAAGAGCCATGTTGTTGGCTTTTTTCATTGTATAACAGACTCACTGATAATACTTTTAAGAACTTTACTTTAGGGGTACCTGGGGGGACTCAGTCAGTTAAGCATCTGACTTCAGGTTAGGTCACGATCTTGCGGCTCATGAGTTCAAGCTCTGCCACGGGCTTTGTGCTGACAGCTCCGAACCTGGAGCCTGCTTTAGATTCTGTGTCTTCCTCTTTGCCCGTCCACCTCTGTCTCTGTCTCTCTGAAAAATAAATAAACATTAAAAAAAGAATTAAAAAAAAAGAACTTTAATAAAATATTCCTGACTTCCTTTCCGGAGAAAAGAATGGCATGGTTTTTTCTTATGCCAAAGGTGTTAACAAAAAAACAGACAGACTCTTTTTTCCCTATGTTTTGGTTCATCTGAAGAACTTTGTTCATGTGCCTTGACTTGTATATTTTAAGTAATGAGACATGTTTTTTTTTTTTTTTACAAATAGTTTATTGTCAAATTAGTTTCCACATAACACCCAGTGCTCATCCCCACAAGTGCCCTCCTCCATGCCCATCCCCCCTCCCCCCCACATCCATCAGTCCTCAGTTTTTGTCAGCATTCAAGAGTCTCTCATGGTTTGCCTCTCTTCCTTTCCCCCACCATTCCCCACCTTCTTCTCCCCCTTGTTCCTCCGTTAAGTTCCTCCTAATCCTCCTGTACGTGCAAACATATGATATTTGTCCTTCTCTGCCTGACTTATTTCGCGTAATGAGACATGTTTAAGTTGACTGACATACCAAAGTTTTTATGCTCAGCTTTATGCCTTAATTCCAATCTCTGGTAAATAAAACATCACATGTTTAATTTCACATTACACAATTCTTACAATTTTCCTCAGGTATGTAGGCTAAACACACCTTAAAAGTATATAGGTAAAGTTACATTAATAATTGTTTTTATAATGTCAATAAAATAATATTAAATATGTATAATATGTTTTTATGTATACTACATCTATTTTAATGTAACTGCAACCCAGACATAAAGCCATCCTTAAATAACTGGATCCTTAGCATTTATTTTTGTAAGCACAATATCACTGTTTATATCCCTTTCCTAGACATTAGCTGGATGTGGTCCTAGGTTCAAGATAAACGCATAGACACACACAATCAAAAGTGATAAATGATGATGAATTGACTACTTTTGAATGCTTGGGGTGTGGGAGTAGAAAGGAGAAGGAAATTACTTTTCTAAAGGTGTTTGTTCCTACGTATAGTTTCTCTTGTTTTACCTGAGTAGTTGAGTGTAAGATTAATTTCTGAAATTGTTGGTAGCTCATCTTGAGCATTTGATAACTACTACTAAATTTGCAAGTTGCTTAGAATTAAGGTGGATGAGAATTTATAGGAAAGCTTCAAAGGCATACACACACACACACACACACACACACAGGCATACACACACACATACATACACACATACACAGACAGACACACACACACACAAAGTCTCTATGTGTTCAGAATCCCTTCTGCTGCTTTGCATCTGTTAAACTCTTGCTCAGTAGTAGTCTTACAGTTTGCTGTGTACAGATGGGCTTTTCTGTGTGAAGGGTGTTTTGTTTCATGGTAATTTTAAGAAATTTAGTATAATAAGTTATGCACATTTTATTTCATTTGGCCCTAGTTCCATTAGTAATTGAGAATAAAAATCTGTTTATAAAAATAAGTTTGTCTTTTTCCCAGGTTGTAGGTATTTTAACCAAGAGGTGTGTGGAATACTTAATTTGGCTGAATGGCAAATGACAACAGTTTGTTCAAAGTTTACATCATCACAGAGGAAATTCCTGGAGAACAGTAATCAGTCTGAAATCTGTATGGATCAAAGATATTTAACAAAGTTGTCCATGATTTTAGGAGATATTCCTCCTCTCAAGACATAAATTGAACTAAATTACTAAAAATGAGAATTCTTAAATATTATTGGGGTACCTGGGAGGAGGTGCCTCAGCGTCTCAGTTGGTTATGTCCGACTTTGGCTCAGGTAATGATCTCACGGTTCATGGGTTCAAGCCCTGCGTCAGACTGTGTGCTTACAACTCAGAGCCTGGAGCTTATTTCAGATTCTGTGTCTCCGTCTCTCCCTGCCCCTCCCCTTCTTGTGCTCTATCTCTGTCTCAAAAATAAACAAACATTAATTAAAAATATATATATTATTTTGTTTTATTTTTTTAGTTCAAGCATAGCATTTTATTGACATAATTATGAAAACATTTAATGTTTTTTCTGTTTTATTTATTTATATATTTTTTAAAAATATTTTTATTTTATTTCTAGGATAGAGAGAGACAGCGTGAACAGGGGAGGGTCAGAGAGAGAGGGAGACACAGACTCTGAAACAGGCTCCAGGCTCTGAGCTGGCAGTCAGCAGAGAGCCCGACGCGGGGCTCGAACCCACGAACCGCGAGATCATGACCTAAGCGAAAGTCGGACGCTTAACCGACTAAGCCACCCAGGCGCCCCANACCAACTAAGCCACCCAGGCGCCCCTGTTTTTTCTGTTTTAAAATCTAATTTAGTTTGTTGACTCAAAAGGGATGTAATATTCTTCTGAAAGTTATCCCAGTCTCCTAATATTTACATTATCTATTTCCCTATATATTTAACTATTTTTTAGCATAAATCAGCTTTTATAGTCATTCTTAATTATTACATATTTTGTTTGTACAATAGTCATTTCTATGTTGGATAATATTTAATGTATATACTTGGAAACATTTTCACTGTAATTACATTTAGAACACAATTTTGGGAAAAAATTAACTATTAACAGTAAATACAAGTGACCTGCCTTATTTGTAAATCTTATGTTGTTATTCTGGTTGTATATGTGCTAAGCTTCATGATTACTGATTATGACAAGTTCAGGAATGCCAGAAATGACATCAAAGGAGGCACTGTCTATTAGGCTGAGGCCAAAGCCAGATCATATATTTGGCTAAATACCAGAGCAAAAGCCACCCCTTTGCCATATCCAGTAAGGGGTAGAATTAGGGCTGAAACTGAGTTTACTCAATAGAAACACGTTAGGAAAGTATTGCTGTGGTAGAAGTATATATTTTTTCTTTATGGACAGGGAGATGGCTAAGAAAGTAGCAATGTACACATTATTGATGTTGAGTAAATGTTTAAATCATAATGGTTTGTGATGGGCATCTCATCTTTTTTTGAGAAATTGCCTTTTTGATTATTCTCACACAGATTTGATGGAAGCCGTATTTAAACTTTTGGAGTATTTACATGAAACAGAGAATAGTATAAAGCAGAGATTAGTAAACTTTTCCTGTTAAGGGCTAGACAGTAAAATTTTTTATACTTTTTGAGTCATTTATGGTGTCTGTCACAACTATTCTGCTGCTGTACAGACAACGCAGTGTCCTAATAAAACTTTATTTATAAAAACAGATGGTAGGCTGGATTTGCCTCTGGGCTATAGTTTATGCCCACCCTTAGCATAAGGCATATCCTCATAAAAAATTGCTGTATTCTTGCAAAAGAAAGTAGCTTAACTTTGATAACACAGTGTTGGCTTAAAGTCACTAGGCATTTGGATGGTCTAGTTAAGTTGCCCAGTTTGTCCTGTCCTGCCTCTGATTATCTAAACTGCAGCTTGACTCCTTATAGATAGAAAATTTGGTTTGTTTATTTCCTCCAAGAGGGGAGGCTTAATATGGTTGTCTGTCAGTTTTTAAGTTCCAGTGTCATGAAAGAAAACCTTTTTTGGGCTTTAAAAAGGCAACTTTAGTGTAGTAGCCAACTCCCTAGTAATTAAGCTAAAAAGCAAAACAAAGGACTTTTTTCACTGAAGAGTGTGGCTAGCCTTTAGGCTGCACTGGCAAAAATGTATGTGTATAAAACATGTTTCAGTTACACTGAACTCTTAGAATGTGTTATTTCTGTTTTGTAGATTAAGGACAGGATATTGAAGAGTTACTACTGTCACTTATGAAGTAGAATATAGTAATACCTTGTGTTGCCAACCTCAGCTATCCAGAATGTATCTAAGTACCTGAAGTAAGACTCTTGACCAACTACAGTAAATAATAGAAGTCATTCACTAGAGAGTGTACATTTTACTCCAGGGGGATCATTTCTTAAGCCATTACAGCCTATTCGATCATTTTAGAATTAGTGAGCATATCACACAGCAGATCACAAGTAGCAAATCTGAGTTGGGGTTCAAGAGCTCTTGGAGGAGACATAATAATATTAGCAAGATTTGCTAGCTAACTCCTTGGCATTACAAAGTAGACTGAAAGGGGTGCCTGGCTGGTTCAATCAGTAGAGCATGCAACTCTTGATCCTAGGGTTGTGAGTCCAAGCCCCAGGTTGGGAGTGGACCCTACTTAAAATAAAATGAAATAGACTAAAAAACTAAAATGCATACATGAGAACTCTTTAAAGCATAGCAGTTAGGGGCCTTTATTGTAGGGGCCTATTGTGTTGTTTATGGAATAGTGTATTAATTGATATAATCATGCCTCTAAGTATCAATAAAAGCTGGCTTTTTTTTCTATTTAAGAAGGAAGATTAAGTATATATTTTAGAAATACCTTATGACTAAAAAATGTAAAAGTACCTTGTCACTCAAAGAGAGGGACAGATTTTTTAGTTACATGAAAAATTCACTTGGGGAACAGCTTATTTCCAGATACTTTTAGGAATCGGCCTGGTATTTTTTTTTTTATCCTTCAAATTCTTCTCTCTCTGGTTATTGTTACCTTTAGGCAGTGATGCTTTTAGAAGTTGAGTTAGGTCAACAGGTACCCATTTCTCTTTCCTTTTCATTTATTTGGACTTCTGCTTTCCTTAGTAATTTCCTTAGTAAGGTCTTTCTCATTAAGTATTCTGGTAGCACTCTCCTTCCCAGAGGAACCCAGGTAGGTAGTTTTGTATTGTTCCTTGACTTCCTTACTCTCAAATACTGAGCATCACTGCTCCACCTAGTACACCCTCCGCAGAGAAGGCAGTGGCAAAGTCGTATCTGACGCTATCCACCTTTTGTGGCTAAGAACCCAACCAACAGACTTGCCAAATCTGTACTTCGCTGTGTACAAACAGGCCTGTTTTGTTATGGGAGCCACTTCTTTCCCAGCCTTTTGGGACTCTAAACAATGATAACATTTTAAAGGGATGTTTGGCTTTTGGAACATCCATCTTGTTTAAATTACTTTTTTAAAGCCCCCACCCCCCATTACATCTCTCTAGCTTTGTTAAAAGTGGGAGGTTTTCATTTCCAATACAAAGTGGTAATTTTCTCTATGTTTATATAAAGAAGAGTGTCTCATTAACCTTTTATATGGATCGTAGAAGCTTTTGGTCTATTCTGATTACATGTTGCTTATTTTTTTGTGTGGGCTTAAAACTTTAGATTTTTGGGGCCAAGTCTAATTAGCCATAGTGGGTTAATATGTAAGACTGATGGCTCTTTTTCTTTCTTTATCACCAGAAACTGGTTGCTCAAATGAAGCAGGATCCACAGGTAAAATACTACTTTTATTTTTTTAATTTTTAAATTAAAATAATTTAAAATAAAGTAACCATAGGATGCTGATACAGACCAGTACTTAAGTTTTGAAAACTATCTCATGTCTAACAGCAATTATTTTTTCATATTGGTCTTCATATCATAAAGGTTGAGAAAAATCCAGTCATTCTATTATAGTGTAGCTGTTACCATTTCATTTGTTTCATCATCACTTTAGATTAATTGTTTTGAGTATTTGGGGGAAAAATTGAGAGTTAATACTCTTCATATAGCTTAAACTTTATTTTCATAAGCATATTTATTTAGATTCAGAGTTTGTGAGGCTTTCCGTAGTCTCCGAATTTTTGTATATGGCCCAGAACCATTCTCATCTTCTCATAGTACAGAACTTAAATACTTAATTCCTCTATGATTAAATAATTTCAGAATAATTTTTAAAAAGCTTAAAATTTTTTTTATCTTTGAAAGAGCCCTTAAGGTACTTTAAAAGTACCTTGTATAACAATCCAGCAGATCTTACCTTCTCTCTAAATTCTCATAGGAGTTTTTGACTTAGGCATTTTATTCTCTGTCCCTGAAGAGAAATCTTCCTAAAAAGTTATCAGGTCTTTGGGGTGCCTGGGTGGCTCAGTTGGTTAAGCACGCAACTCTAGATCTCACCTTAGGTCTTAATCTCAGCTCAGGTCTTGATCTCAGGATCAAGAGTTCAAGCCCCACGTTGGTCTCTGTGCTGGGTGTGAAGCCTACTTTAAAATAAAAAAGTTGTCTTTGATAAATATATTTATTGTTCAGGAGTGTCTCTTTCGCAGCCATTATTAGACAGTGGGTCATAAGTTTGGAGAATAGATCAGACTCTCAGGTTTTATTTCCCCATAATTTGTTTACAGAACACTTAGACCCATTATATATGTATGTAAATATGTAAATAAAAGTGTATATTTAACTTGTTAAACATACCATACATGCCTTATTTTAAAATTAAGAAAATAAATTCTTGATTGAAGAATGGTACTGGAACAGTTTGATTTTTGAAAGTAGGATATATATACATTTCCATAAAAATTTAGCAGCCAGTGGCCTAACCATTGTGTTTTAACATGATCCATTGATTCTGAGAGCTGCCATTGATAGCCCTCACTTAACTCAGGTTTGACAGTCCAACTTCTTTGAGAAGGTTTTTCATTTTTATTTATTTTTTAAAGTATATTAAAATTTAAGTTAGATTTAGGGAACAGTAGACCTTAGATTAATAGTTGTTTTTATATTTAATATGGTAACCTGCATCGTCGGCAACTGAAATATTATTAGAAAATATTAGCATTTCTGATATAGCTGGTGGTCATGTAACAGAGTATTTTAATTCAGAGAATCTGAGGCGGGGGGCAGAAAGTTGTTGAACAATCTTGTGAGTGATCTCATTAGAGAAGCTTTATAGCAAATACATTTATTAAAAAGGCAATATAGAGTAAACATAAGGAGGGAAGGATGTGTGCCCCAACCCTGGCGGAAGACCAAGCAGGGTGAATTGAAAGAAATGCATACAAAACAATGAAGAAAAATTAGTGATTGGAGTGATCTTCAGCCTGTTAGTAGGCTGTCCTGCTACATTAAGCATTTGAAAATTTTCATTTTGGATTTTTCCCCCCACTTGAGTGGAAGGCAAGCATGCTCAGTATATCTCATCTAAAATAGTGTTCTTTTTGGATTCCTAGAATTTTAGAACTGAGAAAATACCCTCGTAGCCAGAGTGTTAATTTGAATGATGTAGTGTTACGGCAGGTGCAGCACTGACAGCTTTTCAAATCTAGGCTAAAATAACAAATGTATTCCACGAAATAAGGAAGAGGGCAGGTGGAGGAAGTACTCTTATCTTTATTGATAATGCCATTAAGCATGCAGTGTATGCATACTTATAACTTCCATTTTCCAGCTTTTGTCCGATTAGTGGAGCTTCAGGTTTTTTGTCAACTGATACCTTCTATAAAGAATAACAATGTTTCAATAGAAAGGAGTAGTATTACAGTACAAGATGCTAAAATAGAAAACTTCTTGTAATTTGAAACAATTGCAAAGAAACTGCTCCTATTCCAGTACTAGGAGCTACATTTAGGATTTGCACGTTAGGATTTAGGTGATCACATGACTACGGTTTAATGCATGACAGGGTTGATTGGCTAAATGCTTAAGATTGCTTCATCATTTGTAATACAGTATGCATAAAGTCTTCTTGCTACTATCCTGTTAACAAATGAAATATCTTTCTCACAGATATTTTTTCTTTCCAATCAGAATGCTGATTTAAAGAAACAGCTTCATGAACTCCAAGCCAAAATCACAGCTTTGAGTGAGAAACAGGTAGGGGAAAAAGGAGGGGGGCCTTATTTTTAACATTGTGTTCTAAAGATATGTCTGCTGGAGGCTTCTAGGAGAACTGCTATTTTTCCTCATGTGTGAAAATAAGTGTGGGCAGCCAGACTCAGTTTTAATTTTGTTTGAGCTCTGTTTATCTATTTTTATTTTTGGTTGAAATCAGTGTCTAGAGTATCCCATGGGTATATGTTACTGGCAAATATCTAAAAGCAGTGTGGCAGGCTGCTGTTAACTGTGTTAATTAAACTCCATAGTTTCCCCATAGGGGAAAGAGGTAAAGAAAGTTAGTGGGAGTACGTGATAGGGAATCTTGTAGTTGCTGGATGCGTCTTGTTAACCTGTTTTAAAGGCTTGAAATGACATTTAACTTACTGTGGAGAAAATGGTTGTAAATAAATTACTCTAAATGTAGGTCTCCTATTCTGATTATCATCATACCTTTATATTATTCTTTATTAGATAGTGACCTATTATGTGAAAAAACATCGGTGGGACCTTGTTAGGTTTATTTATATAAAAAGCAAGAGAAGAGCATCTTGCTTTTTTTCCCAAGGACATCTGGAAAGTATTCTTTGGGATTTCTTGTGTAATGACCTCTCCTTCACCAATTCAGGCAGCTCCTGCCACCAGGTGGAGTGTGACAGTTGATAGAGCTCTAAGTAAATGTCTGTGGTATTCCCACAAAGCATTTGTTTTCTTGTTCGTTCCCCACCACCCTCCCTCTGGTGAAAAGGAGCAGCTTTTTGTCTTGAAGTAGGTGACTTCGTGAATCAAAAGGAAAAGGTGATTTGCAATCGATAGTTCCTGCTAATGACATCTTATTGAAGATTTTTGACTGAATAGTCCTCAATAATTGATTTTTGGATTTTTTTTAAACTTATTTAATGAAATATAGTAATAAGAGTAATTTATTCTAGGAGATTTCTGATTGTGTTTGTATTGTGTATTCTAAGGGGAGAAATACATTTTGAGAACTACGTGGAACACATACGAGTCGTTAATGGTTCAGAATAGAATCTTTATCCAAGCCGAGTGAACGGCGGCTTTTTTCCTCCCTACTCCTGTTCTTATGCTTCTGCGTTTCCCCATCTTGTCATCTCCAGAGACAGGAGGTAGTTTAGATTAGATTAGGGAATTGCCAAACTAAAATTGGGAGGAGGTAGCATGGTAGAGAACAATTTGTAAGGAAAAAGTATAAACAGAGTTCGTTAGTATGTATTTGGCTCTGAAAGTGATTCAGTTCTCTAAAGTCAAAATGATGTGTGTTAGTGAAAGTGTTCTAGCTTTAAAATTCTGTTAGCACTGAGCCGCCTTATAGTTTCAGGGTTAGTTTGACAAGATGCCAATGAATGACTCACTTTTGCTGAAAAATGCACGTGTTCCAGCAGAGAAAGAAGGTGAGAACTGATTAGTGGAGTTGGGAGTGGCGGATGCGGTCACAAAGTTAAGACAACCTAAGGCTACATTTGGGGAAAATGGGGCAATTGAAAAAATGTACATTTATTTGAAATTTGTGTTTGTGAGAACTGATGTAAAGATTTGGTTTATTTCTATATCTTTTTATTCTTTAATTTCTTTTTCCTACTAGGGGCCTCACTTAATAGAAAGTTGCAACCTTTTATGTTTATGTTCAGTAAGACATTTCATCAAGTGACAAAATCTGTCATCTAACAAAGTTTGACTTTTAGAAACTAGAATTTTAAAAAATGGGCCCGGCATCAGGAAAATCTTAGGTATACAAAGTAAAGAGAGTAGAGTCAGAAGCTGAAATGCAGTCTTGGCAATTTTTGAAAATTTTCTTAACTGTTAAAACAACCTTTTCGATAGAACAGAAAATATATCATTTTTAGGTAAGCTAGTACTTGAAGGAAGCACAGCAATAAAGTTCAAAAGCTGGTCCTTCCTCAGGGGCACCTGGGTGGGTCAGTCAGTTAAGCATCCAGCATCCGCTCAGGTCATGATCCCACGGTTCATGGGTTCGAGTCCCACGTTGGGCTCTGCCGACAGCTCAGAGCCTGGAGCCTTCTTCGGATTCTATGTCTCCCTCTCTTTCTCTGCCCCTCCCCCTCTCATGCTCTGTCTCTGTCTCTTAAAAATAAATAAACATTTAAAAAAAAGAAAAGCTGATCCTTTCTCAGACTTATTTCCAACACGAAACATTGATAATTAATTTAAAATAGCTTTATTTTACCGAAGATGCCTAATGCTGAATGCCTAGCATTTTCCTTTTCCTTCTCAAAAGATCTACTTAAGCCTCTGGCAAAACACTGATTTGCCTTTTACCTTAATAACCAAAATCTGAATTACCTTACTCACAAAACAACTATTTTAATTTAACATTAATTTTTTTGGTTGTGAGAAAAATGCTAAATATAGCAAAGTTCAAAGAGTGCTGTATTCCAGAATTAACAACTATTAATCCTCTGTCAATATTTGTTCTTATTTTTTATCTATATGTACTTTTCTGTAGTCATTTTTCTATATCCACTTGAAAACTTAATTTATGTAAAAAATAGATGCATACATTCTCTTTTTTGCTTTATTAAAAAAACAAAACATTGCAGATAGTCATCAATTCTTATGGTGGGCGCTTATCAGTTATTTGTTATTGCTCTCTCAATCTTTGGTACTTACTTAGTTTCCTTCTCAAGACTAACTGTGAGATGTTATGTTCCATTTGGGAAAATATGGTCTTTAGTGAGCATCTTTCATGGATAAAACTCAGTGAATTTCATTGAATTCTTCGTTAGAAGGTTCTAGTGTTTTCAAACTGCAACTTGAGATTTCTTTTTTTTTCTTAAATAGTTTATTATCAAGTTGGTTTCCATATAACACCCAGTGCTCATCCCAACAAGTGCCCCCCTCCGTGCCCATCACCCCCCTTCGCCTCTCCCACACCCCCATTAACCCTCAGTTTGTTCTCAACATTCAAGAGTCTCTCATGGTTTGCCTCCCTCCTTCTCCCCAACTATTTTTCCCCTTCTTGTCCCCCATGGTCCTCCGTTAAGTTCCTCCTAATCCACCTATAAGTGCAAAAATATGGTATCTGTCCTTCTCTGCCTGACTTATTTCGCTCAGCATAACACCCTCAAGTTCCATCCATGTGGCTACACGTGGCCAGATTTCATTCTTTCTCATTGCCATGTAGTATTCCCATTGTATAGATAAACCACATCTTCTTGATCCATTCGTCATGCAACTTGAGATTTCTGAATAAGCTCTCCATTGCAGATTTTGAAGTCAGCCCCTTGACCCACAAGGCTTTAATTTGCGGTTGACAGTTTTAACTCAGGAAATCCCCTGACTTGATTGGCTAAATGAATTATATGTTATGGAACCATTAAAAATCATGGTTTCAAGAATATTCTGATATTACAGAGGGTGCTCATGATAAAGCAAGGGAAAAACACATCGGCTTCCTATGCATTATAATCCCATTTTTTAGTGTTTTGTATGTATACATATGTACATAGGCATGTGAATACATGTAAAACAGTGTCATAAAATGTTGGGAGGTGATGAATTTACAGGTAGATTATTTTTTCTTTATAGTCTTAGTATATTTGCTTTAGTCTCCACAATAAATGTATTTTCTTTTTATACCAGAAACAGACAAGAAACATTATTTAAAAAAATTTTAACACGAAGTTTTGTCTGTTCCCCGGGAGAGTTAGCATTTAAATATCTAATGACATTCTCCTCATGGTATGTGAACCACTCGAATCAGAGAATCCAACTATTTTAGACACTAGTAATACTGACGTGTGGAAGCAACTATTAATTTCTTTAACAGGTTCATTCCTCCTCAGTTTGGCATGATGTGTGGTCTTTTGCTCATCAGAATAGAGGTTCTGATATTGGAGCCATTCTATGTAGTTGCTTTCCTACTTACGCTGCTTTTATTCTGTTTTCCTATAGAAGCGGTCTTAACATCCCCAGATTTGTTGCTTGCCCCTGTGGTGACTCAGGCTTAAGTCATAGCAGTTGCATCTTTCATTCCTCCTGCCTTGAACAGTTTGTTACCCAACCTTTCTTCACCTGGTGCTCTCCTGGCCGGGCATTAGGTCACAGCTTAAATGTTAGTGCTTCAGAAGACCTGTCCCTTAGACGCCTTTCTCCTGTCAAAATCAACTGTTTCTATTCTAATCTCTTATTGAACCCTTCATTTTTCTTTCATAGCAGTGCCAGTTAGGATTAGGCTCAGCTGTGAATGACTGAAAACTAAAAATGAAAATGGCTTAAAGAAGGTAGAATTTTCTTCCTCTCTCATGTAAAAGCTCTGTAGGTGCACTAGGGCTGATGATAGTGGTTCCACAGTGTCAGGGAGCCCCAGCGCCTCCTGTTCCGTTGCTCTGCCACTCTCAGCATGAGGCTTCCACATCATAGTCCAAAATACCAGCTCCATCTGGTAAGAAGGGGAAAAGCAACAAAAAGCAAGCCCTTTATTTTGAAGGATGCTTACTGGAAGCTGTATATACCACTTCCAATTAGATCCCATTGGTAAGAGCTTAGTAGTGTGGGTCCCGCTAGGAGCAAGGAAGGCTGGAAAGTGTAGTCTATTCCAGGTGCCCATAGGCAGATAAAATTCAAGGACTCTGGTACTGAGTAAGAAGAGGGGAATAAACCCTGGGAATAATTAGCAATTTCTGTCATAGTAACTTAATTACCATTTGTAATTGCACATGTGTAATAATTATTTTTTAATATAGATCTTCCTCAATAGACTTAGTTTTGAGAGGTTTTAGGGAACAGGGGTGCAACCCTGGGTGCTTCAGTTGGTTAAGTGTCCAACTAGGGCTCAAGTCATGATCTCACGGTACATGAGTTCAAGCCTTGCATTGGGCTCACTGCTCTCAGCGCAGAGCCTGCTTGGGATTCTTGCTCTCTCCTCTCTTTGCCCCTCCCCTGCTCATGCTTTATCTCTTTCTGTCTCTCTCTAAAAGTAAAAAATAAACTTAAAAAAAAAAAGTTTTAGGGAATGTGTT